GAATTGCTACACCTCTGGCTCTTGAAACAGAGTGAACTCCACCCCCCTACCTCCATTTTAGGAGGAAAGGGAAATAAAAAAAATAGAAGCAGCACCTGAATCCTGCCCTCAGCCGTGTTTCTTCAGCCATGTTTCTAAGTAGGGATTTTCACTGAGCTAGCAGTGGTTGTGATTTCTTTGTCATTATATTGGCTTTGATTCCATCTAACCACTTCTGTAGCTTCTATAATCCCAGGCCCATTTGCTTAATGTTCTGTTATCACTACTTAGATTTCAGTATACTGAAATACTATGAATAGGTAAGATAGATGAAAGAAAAGAGATTATCATCCCTTTTCACAGAGAGGCAAGAGAGAGAGTGGAAAAATTGGGTTATTCCCCCAAAGTCTGTAGCACAGTTGGAAGCAGAGCTCAGGTCCAAGTTCAGCACCACCACTGGAATCTTCCAAATCTACATCTGAAGGTCTTAAAGCTATTACTGATTGTGAAGGGCCGGATGGACACACTTCAGCAGTACCTCTAGCTGACCAGGACAGCATCAGCAGTGCTTTCTCAATGAAGAGTGAGGAAGTCATCGGCCCATTAAGCACTGAAAGGCAGCTTCAGCCTTACATAAGTGAAAGCAACTCTGTTTTGCCAAGTCTGAAATTGCCTGCGTATCCATAGCACCGCATTTTTGGAGTTCTTCTGGGCAGAATGAAGGGAGCTTTGGTAACCCAAAGAAACCATAAAGCCCAGTTCCACACTGGCTGTAGCTCAGCCGGATGTCATCTCTGACAGCTGGAGATAGTTGGGCTGTAGACACGGTGCCAGCATGCAGATCCAACACCCACTGCCCCCTGCAGGGACATAAGGACCATCGCCAGACTATTCCCATCTTGCAGCCAGAACTGTGGGACTGAGGCAGCTCTGCTGCCATCTCATGCTGTGCTTCTGCTTGCCTCCGTTAAGAGCCTGCTCTCCAGCTCCAGGAGCGGAAACTGGGGCTGAGCTCAGCAGTGATGCACAGGGCCCTGCCTGCTTCTCCATGGGGGTTTTCACACGTTAGCCTCTGCACAACTCCCACGCATGAATTAAAATCTTAAGATTGGGGCAGAAAAAAAGTATTCACCAATACATCTTAATTGGATGGCTTTGTGTTCGGTTTCCCAGTGGCTGCACTTCTATATTCAATTTCTAACTTTTCTCCTCTCAGACATTTGGTTGTGTAGATCTTTATGGAAGAAAAGGACTGTGACTTTATAAAAATCTTGTAAGTAGTGCGAGTGTCAGGCAGAACATGGAGTAGTGATGTCTGGGCAGCTGCTGTTACTGGGCAAGTCAACACCATTGTCAATGCCATCACTACCAGCAGTGAGCAATGCTTCATACAGAATTGTGATATCAACTTGCAGGAAGGGAAGACAGGAAAGTTCACTTGAGATTTCCGATTGAGCTGTATTCAAATCCATCAGAGACATTGTATTACTTTGAACTGTGTTCCTCTCCATGTAAATAAAAACACAAAATCTACTTATTTTTACTAATCTTTTTGCCCATTTAAAATAATTAATAAAAAAGTAGCTGAAAGAAATTTCATATTGCCCCTTTCCACAATGAAGCCTAAATACAACACATACAAATACTATAGCCCTTTCAGAATTCAGAGCTTCATCAAATACAGTAGTCTACTTTGACTTTCCAAAGCAATTGGGAGAAATACAAATAGGAGTGCTTGGGTCCTGGCATGCTGAGGCAACAAAACCTCTCTGCTGGCCACGAGTGAGAAGCTTTTCCCTTCCTCTGCCCTACATCACCATCAGCCCCAGCCAACAATACCACAGATGGCAACATACGCCCTGGCCACAGCTCATAACCCAAAGACTACACCCTTTTGTGGTCATGATTTCACTGGGCAACATGATATCTCAATTTAGGCTCTTGTGAAAATCAAGCACTGATGTTGCATGCGGGAGGAGGGTTCTTGTGGCCCATTTCCTTACTAAGACACCTGCACTACGGAGAACTTCATAAAAGACCACCATTTTATTAAAAAAAAAAATAACCCAGCAAACATTTTCAAGAAATGGTTTAATCACATTCAGTTCTTTCAGTGCTTGCTGGAATAATCATGAACTCTGTCAGTGCTAATGGGGGTGTTATAAGTATCTGTGTAGGACTGCCTCTGTAATTCAGCATTAATTAGCTGAATCATTATTTTAGAGTGTTACTGAATTATCTTATAATTACCACCTATCTTGGTGCTTGTAAATGCTGCAACAGAAGGAAACGACAATTCTTTTAAATGTACTTAAAGTTAAGAAGGCATAATAAACACTCCATTCTGTCTTTTTTAGAAGCTTTTTTATCTTCTGCGAGATGTAAGGCTAGTACAACTGCTTTCATCTATGCCTTGTAGATTTATTACAATCATTATAACAAATGGAAATGAATATTATTCAGGTTTATTACCCTATAGTATATCTTTATGAGCACACAGGAAACCATGTTGCTTCTTTATCCACTGCTTATAAAGAGAATGAAAGATGCTACTCTGGAAAACAGAGTATTGTGATTTAAAAAAGATCATTTGACTCTCCTAATTTGACTGTTTTGCTAATAACTTATCTGCTCTGATTCCCAACAAAATCAGGCCTAATTGTTGCACACTAAGAAGTCTCATTACTGCTTAACTGAGGAAGTAGTTAGGAAATACCATGTATGTTTTGCTGCTGATGATTCTGCTCTGCAAGTGCTAACACTGTGGTGCAAAGTCTGCTGCGCCTTACCCCCCGCTCGAAGCACACAGGAGCAGTGGGAAAGGAAAGGAGTATTCTTGTCACTGGGCTAATCAGGAAAGCTTGTATCACCTGGCTGGCTCAGGTTTGGGCTCTTGTGATCAGCTCCGAATGCTGATCACAAGACACTTTGCTCAGGCCGTCATGTGCTCCCGAGAGACTACCTGGTGCAGGATCTCCAAATACAAGTTTATAAATGCATAAAGAATCATGCTAAATGAATCTCTTCTTATGCTCAGGGTTTACTGCGAGGTGCTTTTTGTAACTTCTCCACTTTGACTAAGAGAGATTGTCCAGGTCAACAGATCTGAGATCTGCTAGACCAAAGGGGAGTCGATGTTGTGCAACCAGTTGTACTGGCAACCAGACATTTCTTGCGTGCTTTAGTTTCTCAGGGTGTATTCAGAGATTTGCAGGAGACAGTTACAGTCTGCATTCTCTTACTTTTACCACATACTCCTTCAGTGGGAGTCACAACATACCCACAGCCTCCATTTTACTCCTATTTTGCAGGCAAAGCTGGGACGTGTTAGCACTTGACTTCTCCAGCTAAGTGATTCCAAACATGAAACAAAAATCAATATGCATGTATGAAGAATGGGGATATTTGAAAAATCTCTGCTCTGAACAGATTTTCAGCCTTAGTGTTCTCAAATGCATTGCTCCCTCAGCTCTAAATATTATGTGCAGTTTGAAATAAAGCAATGGTTTACTGCCAATGATTGCTGCTAGGGTGTTACTGATACACCTAGGATATGAAACACTAAATCAAACTTCACATTCATTTCTATGAAAAAGATGATTTTCATATCCTGACACGTTTTGCTCTGAGACTAAGCTTGTTATTTATTAGGGTTCACTCTGTAGTTCTTAGAAACAGCACAATGTTGCTATTGTGATTGCTCTTCTCACTAGAATCATGATGGCATTTGCTCGTCACACAGAGCAGTTTAAATCACAGAAAGAATTCACAATGCAGTTAAACAACTTGGTAGCAAACGTAGCCCACAAATAATCATAGCTTACTTGCATTTAAGCTTTACAGATGTACTTCTTTACTCCAGTTTCTCTACCCTCTATGCCAAAGACAACAGATTAAAAATTTGTGTCATATTTAGTCTTCAAAAGCAGTATTTTCAATAGGCAGTAATGGTTCATTATTTGAAAATATGACCATAATGAAAACTAGAGTATAAAATACTTGGAAGTTCATATGATAAAAATGAACTATGGAAAAAAATGGGTTGGAAGGAATCTTGGGAGCTGATCTTGTCCAACATCCTTCTCAAAGCAGAATCAACTTCAAAGCTGGACGAGGCATCTCAGGACCTCTGTGATCAAACTGAGCTTACTCACTAAACTTTCTGAAGCTTCAAATGATAAAATGCAGCTTGCATCTACAACACCCCCTCAATATGGATGCATTTAGATTTATAATTCCTACCCACACTGTTAGTATCAGCACAAGCAGTAGTTTTTATTTATTGCTAACCACTTTGCAGATCCTAATTCCAATTGCTCATAACAAGTAGAGAAACTATAAAATATTTCCACACCAAGTGGTTTCTTCACTTTTGTTTTAAAATACTAACTTGAGCTGAATTAGCTCAGATGTTTCTAAAAGCAAACACAGGAACAGTCTTTCTGGTGAAAATCCTAGCATCCTTCCAGAACTTTGCTGTCAGAACAAGAAGCTGTGTCAAAGAACCCTGTCCAGTTTCTGTGCAGGACCACTAATGTTTTATTAGAAGGTGAACTTCATAAAAACTGTTATTGAACGTGCTTGGCATAGACTTGCTATCCCTTGACAGATCCCATCTATAAGTATACCAGCCCAACAAAAATGAACTTTTTGATAAAAATAAGCTGCCCTCACAAGGACCTGGAGCTGCTAACTACTGTGCATACTCCATCAGGGTGTCCACTGAGAACAAGCTCCAGCTGTGTGCTAGATCAGGACCTGAGCCTGGGTGCCTAGCCCTGGTAACGAGTGGAAGAAGGACTAAGTACAGGGAGCAACTGAGAAGTTGCTGTCTGCATGGGAACTGCTGAATCACTGCCTAAACCTCTGATTGATCGCCTGAGGCAACCAAAGAGTCAGCCCTGGGAGCACAGGTGAAGGCAATTCACCTGTGCTGCCGGAAGGGTTGAAGCCTGGCTCCACCTCTCCTAGACCCATTTAAGAGCTGACTACGAGTGGGGAAGTATCTTTTCTGGAGATTACTCTTCTGGAGTTTTGCAGGGATCCCAGGGGCATAGGTAGGCTTTCTCTCTATTCTCTTTCTGTTATTATAATCTGCTTAGCCAAATTCTTTTGTTTGTTTCGTGGTTATAACTTTGTTATATTCATTGACTATGCTGTTAGATGGCAGGTCACAGACACATAAAGGGAGACGATGCCATGAGCTGGGGATTAGCATATGGCTGTGGAAAGAAAGGGAGGAGTCTAGGGCAGGAGTCCAGGGACTGTTGCTGTTGGGATTAGAAATGAGTAAACCACACATTGGGAAGCTGCAGAGGGTGGAAAGGATGAAATGAGTGAGGAGTCGTGGCCTGGCCAACTAGGGAGATCGTGAGGAGAGCAAGCACAAAGAGAGGAACAAACTAGGAAAAGATAAAGAAGGCAAAGTTATCTGCTCGGCAGCTTCTCTACAGTGCTTATCATCATAGTTTAAGTGACTGGGAAGTTATTGGTGACTTCATTTACATGACTCTGTGTTGATGCTAACAACGCTTAAACATGGAAGTATAAATAAAGGAGAAACAAAGGTCCAGAGTTTCTACTACTTTTCGTATTTGAATCATGCTTTTGATTTGCTTAGAGTGTTAACAACTACATATCATGTTATGCATTTGAAGTTCATTGGGGATGTGTCTGCTTGTATGTCTGCAGACCATGGTCAAGTGTTTTTAAAATGAGGAACACCAAACTACAAAGAATGTGTGGGGAAAAAAAAAAAAAGTGGTTTAATCAACCAGCCAGTGTCCTGTCAGAGCTCACTTAGCTGAGGCTTGCAGCACCCAAAACTTTTTACTGCACATTCCCTTCCAGTTGGATATCCTAGAAAAATCTTCCAGGAGGTGGTTTAGAAGAAATTTCTCAAGAAAGAAGAGTAATTTAGAAAGGTGTGAGAAGGATGAGACAGCAGGAAATACTATTAGTATGTTGCTGAGTGTCCTTAGTTTCCCCCACTGCTATGGTATCTCACCACTTCAGCTCATCGGCATTTCTAACTTCCTCCAGGACAGGCAGGACCCAAGAGCTCTTAAATGCATCTGCCCTGCTCCCCCCAGCACAGACACTGAGCTGTCCAGAATAAATCTCCCAAGAGATGTTTTCTTCTCTAGCCCACAATTAAATGACTTCTTCTTTGCCATTTCTTCCTGTTTATGCGTTCCTCCTCGCCTGTGAATGGGCTCACTGGCTGAAGTGTCATGCATTGCTGCCTGGGATGGCACCCCTCCTTCCCTCCCTCTTTACGGTTACTGCCTTAACATTTCCCCTGTGTATCCTAATGAGCATGTTGCCAGCTTTTGGCTTCAGGTCACTTTCTCCAGCTTAAACCCTCCTTAAAACAGTTATGTAACTTTGTACATGGTAGAGTATAAAAGCATTTAATGTTGAAAGCTGTTTTTAAGGTTTATTTTGTTAAGCTTGATGAGATTTTTTTTGTACTCCACTGAGTGAAGTTTCAGTAGACAAATGCAACACAAGGGTTTAGAATGAGATAGTTCAGACTACACAGTCAGCATCTTAGGTTGATAGGTGAGGCAAACTACCTTGCACCTGCTCTGTGTGTAGGTTAACTCCAGTGTTCAGGCATTAGCTTGAATGCAAACAAAATGTGTTTGCTCAGTTTGGTTTGAACATGTCCAGCGTCAATCGCCTGATAGCCTACATGATACCATGACATTTATAATTTTGTTGATTCTTAGTGCTAAGATAAATCTTAATATCCTCCCTTTCAGGTGGAGCAAATGTGTGCAAATGCAGAGGGGGGAGGTGGAGAAAACAGATGCAAAAGCAGTATTTCTTTGTATTCTCGTATGTTCATTTTGAGCTCAGTTAAAATGATTTTATTTACTCTTGGGCTTCTTATTAAGAATTTGCTTTCAGGAAACATTTTGTTAATTTCTCACTCTTTAAGGCACAAAACTATTTGCCTGAACAATGGTACCAAGACCACGAAATCCATCACTTTTGACAAACATTTTGCTGGGATCAAGTGTCAGCAGCCATTGTCCATTGCCGGTAGGGTCAGTCCCTTGCAGACCACCCAGAGCTGTCCCCAGTGCTCACTGTACCCACAGAGCACAACTCCGATGTCAGTTCCTGTAAAAAGTTTGCATGACAGCTCACAGATTCGGATACGTCACTTCTTGGCGTGTATCTGTCAAATTATTTGGCAGCTCTCTCCATATGAATTGTAGAAGTTTAGCTGCAAAAATTTCCAGATCAAAGCTGTCAATCACTAGGCAATTCCCACAAGGACACGCAGAAGGACCTGGCTGGGAAATTATCTGAAGCTGCAATAATCTATAAGGCTTGCTAAAGGAAAAAAAAGCAATACTTCCCAAATTACGTGGTTCAAAGTTCAATTACTGTTTTTCTCTGTACAATTTAAGACAGTGAGCTACCATAGTCCCATGATCTGGAAGCAAAGTCAGAAAGTGAAATGCAGTTCATCTATTTCCTTGGCATTCCCTCCCTTTTCAATTAAATATGCTTTTCTTTTCTTTTCCGTTATTCTGTGGAGGCAGTAAACCTCAGTCTAAATGAGCATTTACATGAAAATCAGAGCTCTCCAAGGCATCCACTGAAACTCCTTTAATACAATGTTCACTTTAATTTGATTTTCTGTCTTGCCTATGGGAGAGTCTCAATCACGTTTGGTATGATTTATGATAGTACTCACCCCTATCCTGCAGGGGTCATTCCCTTTCCTAAAACCACCTCATTTTGACCATTTGATTTGAAGCAAGAATTCCTTTTACCAGTAAACAGATCAGTAACCAACGTTGTCCGCAGATGACGGTAAGCACGATCCAGTTTTTATTAGGGTCTCTCAAATGTCAAAAAGCTCACTTTAATCTCCAAAAAATTTAATCTGTTCACATCGCTTGCAACCTCTTGGTTGTCTCCTTCATAAAGGTTGTTTCCTTGGGCTCAAGGAGTAATTTCTTCCACCATATCTTGTGAGGAAGCCAGCTCCATCATACTTACTTCAAGCAAACTTTCCCTTTCCAAACCCAAGTGAATCTGGGTATCGTGTTCTGTGACTCTCATTATCTGATTTTGCCACTTCAAAACTGAAAATTACACAAAGGGTAGGATACAAGCACCTTCTTAAAGGTATTTAATCTTGCTCTCATTATATCTACTTATGTTTACTTTATTAAAATAATCTGTCACATACTTCCGAAGCCATCTCTCAAAGCAACACGTTTCAAAGAGGATTCACTGAGTAAATATACTGCTGAAACTATTGTAACAGCAAAGCAGCTAGAGTTATGTATGTGCAGATTTACTAAGCTTTTATCCATCACAGAACGATGGGCAACAAAGTAAAAACTGAAGTTAGTAGCAGAAGAGTGCAATTCAATTCTTTTTCTTTCTATTGTTGATATATCCTATGCCAAAGCACTACCACAATTGATGTCCTCTTTGACCCAAAATAAAGTGTTTTCTTCATCTCTGGTCTGATCTTCTGTCCATGCATATATCCTCATCTGTGCACTGTATTACATGAAAACGTGTAGAATTTGTACATATGTTCAGTAAACAGCTGGCCGTGTTTGGATGTTTATTTTCCGCTTGGTTATGAATATGTGGTTGTGCGCTTGCTGATCAGCTATATATTTGATAGAAAAATGGTTGTCTATTGGTCAGTTTATATCTCCAGGATCTTGGGTTTTGAATTTTATGAAATTCTTCTTTCTTGCAATCTGAAGCTTTCAGCAAGCCGTTATTTATCTCCTCAGCCAACTTATTTCCTTTATTCACTTATTTCAGCCTGGAGTCTTAAAGTCGTGGGAAAGCCCAAACGATTTGTTTGCCCCCTTCTGAGGAACTTCTTGAGCTTCATTTTAGAATGCAATTGACAGAAGTTCAACTCAATTTTCTTCTTTTCTTGCTTCTGAAAGTGTATCTTTACAAGAAAGATAACACACTTTGCAAGCAGTGTAGAGGCAGCTGATCTATCTCCAGAAACCAGGTAAGAGACCAAAAATATGGTACCTCTTGAGTTAAATTATCATGTAAATTAAATTAATGGGCATATCTGTGATCTAGGTACTGCGACTTGTTTTACTTGCTTTTAGAGTGGCTATAGTCCAGTTGCGCACAAAGAATTTGTATTTGCACATGGCTTCCAAGGGCTGTGCAGCTTCAGACAACCATATTTTTAAAGATAACACAGAAAGCCACAAGGAAAGCCCGCCAGGCACTGGGACAGAGTAGGCTTTGTGGCCACACGGGCTTGAGCAGTTTGCTTCAGGGGGCATTCCCATAGATGATGCACGCACACTGTCAGCTTGAGAGTTTCATCAGCAGAAATCTCCTGCAATAGGCAGGAAATCCTGCTCATCTGCTGCAAAGGGCCCAGAGATGCTGGCAACCTGTCGGATGAGCCATGCATCAGAGATGCTGTCCTACCACCTGTGAGAGACAAAGCATGCTGACTCCTCCTTCCCAGGGCTTTTGGCTGCTTCCCTCTGGATGGCGGAGCTCAGCAGACATGCTGCTGGTCACTGACTCACTTGTCAGCCTCTGCAGGTAAACAGTGAGAGACCTTGAGGTACGTCAAGCCCAAATTGCAGTCAAATACTAGTGATACAGCCATCTGTACCACCACCGTCACGCAGAGAAATGAATGCTCACATGTGACAGTGCCAGCTGACTTAGGCTAATACTAAGAGGAAAATTCAGAGAAGTGGTATCTCCCAGTTCTCTGGATCTCTCATTTTTCTGGTCACTGTCCAACACACTGCAAAATCTAATCCACCAGAGCTGTAGGATTTACCCAATACTTTGATAAACTTTCAAGCCTAACTGGAAGACTTTCATCCTGCTATTTCATGCTCCTAAAATGTGTTTTTTTGGTTGTTTTTTTTTTTTTGTTTTTTTTTTGTTTTGTTTTGGTTTGGTTTTTTTTTTTTTTTTTCACTTTTTACCATCCTAATGAAGTGAAGCTTCTTGTCTCCAGATGTGTCTGCAGCCCTGATAGCACAAGGCACCCTAATGGGATCCGTGCCCAAACTTAGGTGCTCTGTGACCCTGTGCTGTTGCCTTACAGTGACTTTCACTGTGTCTTCCATTGCTTTTATCAAAAGCATTTCTGGTATTAAGCTTTTCTTGTGATGTGCAACGCTTTGAACGGTATCTATTTCATGTTATAGCTATAGGACAGATCTCTTTTTTTTTTTTTTTCTCATGGAAAACCCACAGTCTCTGAAAAGAAGATACTCATTCACTTGAATCTGAAGATAATGTCAAAATATTATTAAATTTAAATCCAACAAGTAAAAATAGCAGGGATGCACAGCAATAAGTGGAATCAGATTTAATATTATGTTCTTGCAATCCCTGGAGCAACATAATTATGTGGCCACTGCTGCATCAAACAAGGAATAGCCACTGAACACACTTGAAGCCATACACTGTCATTTACAGATGATCTTTGGCAAAGATTTACGATGTGCATCTGTAGCCTTCCCTTTCTTTTTCAGTTTTACAGAAGTGCAAAGAGCTGGAGAAAGAGGCAAAGGAGGATAGAGGAGATACGTTGCTCTGGTTTTGACTGACTGTTTTACGTTTCACCTCAAACTAAGGTTTCTTTGAACAGCTCTTTGGATTGGTCTACAATAAGAGTGTCATGTCTTATTCCTTACCAAGGTCACTGGGACACAGTTTGGAAGAGCTTCCAATCTTCTATCCTATTTTGACGACTGCTGTTCTCAACCCTCTTGTATCCCTGGAGGTTTGGTCCTAGCTCACACCCCATAAAAACTTCACCCACCCCAGATACAAAGCTTTGTCTCACAGCTGACTCTGTAGGTGCTGTACATGAGGAGGCCTCACAGGGAGAGGGACAAGCTGGAAACCAAATAGATTCCTGCCCTCTTGGCCAGGATGCTGAGTCCTTTCACGTCAGTGTAGAGAGGTGAGACACCAGCACAGGCTGCCCAGAGAAGCTGTGGAGGCTTCATCCCTGGAGGGGCTGGGACCTCCTTATATTGTCTTTACCAGCATGGAAACCATCCTGCCAAGTTTCATGCACTCTGTAAAGGTGCATACTGTTTTATACTATTGCTACTTCAACTCTAAATTGCTTATATATTTTCTGTATTTTATATACACATTTTCTGGATTATGTAGCAGCAAATCAATTTTCATTAACCCTCAAACATAGATGTCCTCTTCGTATTGCTGTGTTCCTATCAATTTGAATTACCTGTAATCCCTTCTTCCTCATTTTCTTTTTACAGAGTATGAAACCAGACTGGGTAAACTTGAACTCAGTACCTTTTTTGTATGTACAACAGGAGGTCACATAACCTCTTTGATGAAGTATTCCAGTAATTTATGGATTCAGATATGTCTTGCCTATCTCACTTAATCTCTTGGATCTGTCTTCTTTATTTTAATCAGAACTTGCATGGGAAAGTACTTTAGCATGTTTTGACCTATTACGTCTTCAGTCCTGCAAATCTTTCTGGCACATTTGATTAAAATGGATCAATTAAAGAGGACACTTTGCCATTCCATGACATAAACTCCTCACTTTTGGTCCCATTACTTATTCAACTTCCCAAGAGTCGTGGCACCATTAGAGGGTTTTTTTTTCTGTAATCAAACTGTGATGATCTTTTTCACAATGGTGCAATTATCTACTCCTTTCTGGTTTCACCTCGACAAGCTCAGTGAGTCATAGACCTTTACATCGACTGCATCTACGCCCACTGATGATCAACAAGGAGTGACAATCTCTCGGACTCATTTACTCTCCACACTAGGTTTGCAAGGAAGCTTAGAACTAGACACCCTTCAGCACAGGCTCTGCAGTAAAAATGTTTGCTTTATTTATTCACTTTCTCTGACTGTCAGCAAAGAAGGTCTATTCCCTTCTGTCCTAACAGTGTAAACCATATTACAATCACCATTGCTGCAATAATATTGAAGTAGTGTAAACGCTACAAATGCTACTCAGTATGACTAAACATGTGAGTATATTTTTACGTGTTTCTTTTCATTTATACGTTTTATACATTCTTCTTACAGGAAAGAGCAATGCTCAGGGCCTGAAAAGTGAAGCTCATCTGCAGGACTCATATCACAATAACAGCTGTCCTTTGCCAAGAAGAGAACTAAAGAAACTCGATGGAAAAAAAAAATCAGTACCTCATCTTATATTAGAAAGTAGTGATGTCTTCACTACACAAAAAAAAATTCAGATAGGCTTTCTTTTTCAATTTTAAGTCATGCGTAGAAGACAAAACTGAAACATGCTGGTTGGCTAAACTCTTTGTCATTCCTGCCATGGACCAACTTTGATTCTTAAATAAACAAGATTTCCTCTGAGTCTTGGCTGATCTTCTTTTAGAAGTCTTGAGTGGGGTGCATAATTTTGACTCTATCACAGTCTAGCCAGAGCTATGAGTGTGATGCAAAATAAAGAAAAACATTTAAAACTACTTTCATTTGGCTCTGTTCCTGCCTCTTCTGTGCTTGCTTTCCGTGTGTATATGAAGGTCTGAATTTTGTTGTTGGAATTACTCACAAAAAGCAGAGTTCAAAGTGGCAATCTCAAGAACAGCATGCGCAGAAGCCAAAATGTAAATGTGCATGTACAAGAATTCATGCCAGAAATTCTTGCACATTCGTGGAATGCGCTTCTTCTGACCAGGCTTGAGCAGGCAAGGTAATGTCAGCTTTTGGTGGCTGCTGCTAATCTGTAAGGCAGAAAGCCCTAACAACGTGAGTTTTCTACATTCATTTCAATACTGAATGCATTCAAACAGATCCTGGTGTGTTTCTCTTGCCCAGACAACAACCAAATGTGTTTTTTATCCATATGTCATTTGTGCTCATGTAACCAGCTTGGGAAGGCAATGGCTGAAGAGGAAACCTGCTCCTGTGACAAAAGGCAGTGGGCTGGGATTTGGGAAATACCTAGTATGGCTTTGCCGTAGCCTCCTGAGATGATCTCAGACAGATCCTTCATTACTCCACTCCTGCCTATTAAATTAGCTCTCCTGAGCTCAGAATATATCTGCATGGCTGCTGCAGAAGCCAGCATTGTATAAGCACAGATGCATTGGCAGCATTGCTTCTTGAAACCAACCTGGGCAACTGTCAGGCTCACAAAAGAGAATAAGCCATAGCCATGCAGCTGTATTGGTAAGGGTGCTTCTTCTCACAGGAGAGTCACTTAGTTTGTTTGCTAATGCTAGGGACTGGTAGAGGCTAACCTGCTGAACATGTCAAAATTTGTGCCATGCTGGAACCCTCTCTGACTTGTGGGTCAGGTATCAGAGAGGACAATGAGAAAACTGCAGTGCATCACCCTGGATTACCAGAATACTAGTCTAGGCCCAAAGAATCATAGAATCATAGAATTGCTCAAGTTGGAAAAGACATTAAAGATCATAGAGTCCAACCGCAACCTAACCATGCTACCCTAACTCTAACAACCCACCACTAAATTATGTCTCTGAGCACCACATCTGAACAGCTTTTGAACACATCCAGGGATGGTGACTCAACTACCTCCCTGGGGAACTTATTCCAGTTCTTAGCCCCCCTTTCTGTAAAGAAGTGTTTCCTGATATCCAACCTAAACTTCCCCTGGCATAACTTGGGGCCATTTCTCCTCGTCCTGTTACCTGTCACCAGTAAGAAGAGATCAACACCGCTCTTGCTGCAAGCACCTTTCAGGTATTTGAAGAGAGCAATAAGGTCTTCTCTCAGCCTCCTTTTCCCTAGACTCAACAGTCCCAGTTCTTTCAATTTCTCCTTGTAGGCATATTCTTCAAGCCCTTCACAAGCCTTGCTGCTCCTCTTTGTACCTGCTCCAGCACTGCAATGTCCTTTCTGTACTAAGGTGCCCAAAGCTGAACACAGTACTCAAGGTGAGGCCTCACCAATGCCGAATACAGGGGCAGGATTATTTCTCTAGTCCTGCTCACTACATCATTCCTGACACAAGCCAAGAATCGTGGCAGGACCTTCATCTTCAAAGGCATAGTACTTTCTTAGAACATCAAATTACAGATCCTTGGGGAAAATGTATTCGTTTTCAGTCCAACCTGTATACATCAACATGCATCCGACACAGAACAATCCTCCCTGCCATGTGAGATCAGCTGCCCAGCTTGGGCCCAAAGATATTTGGTGGCACACTGAATGAGATCCTCTAGCTGGAGCATAGCCTGCATGAGAAGAGCAGGAAATTTCAGGATTATGGAAGAATTGGGAAAACTGCAGAAGAATTCACCTTTTGCTGTTGGAGATTTAAATCTGCACTTTCATTTAATCAGAAATGTAATTTCCGCAGTGCAGCAAGCTTCAAATTCTACTTATGGCCTTGGTGCCATGACAGTTTTGGTAGTAACTTGTTCTTTGTACATATTTCTACTAGAACCGTGAATAATCATCAAAATTAACTAGCCTATAGAGTGATTAAATAATTTCCTTCAATTTGCATTTGATATGTTTATTAAGTGCTGGAGGGTGTTCTTCACTCTCTTATTTTTTCTGCTGTTAAAGACTATGTCTGGATCTTTGGCATAGGTACAGTGCTATTATGGTTACTTCAAAATTTTAATCAGATTACAGTATGAGTTACCATTTGATATTGTAAAAATGCCAGTAGGAAGTAGATAAATATTAAGATACAATTAGCCACCACTGCCTTTTATTGCTGGGAATTCATTAATATTGAGATAAGTCTGAGTTCTGTGGTAGTGACAATTTTTGTAGCGTGGTGCTTTTATCAGGTTACATTTTCTCACAAGTAATAGCACAAGTAATAAACAAGCTGGAGGATGAATATAAACAACACAGGTAGAAACAGCAATATTAAAGCTACAAAATATACGGAGTACCGCCTGCACGTTATTACTTGTGCTTCATTTACCCTACCCTTGTCAACAAGACCTGTAATTCAAAACATGCAATTCCTTGTGAGACATTTTCATTTTGAACCAGATGAAACTATCAGCACTGATCATCAATAAAAAACGTGATTTAAAACATATTGGAAACTCGTGCTTTCAAATGCACGTCTTGGCCCTTCACACAAGCAAGTAGTCTCTAATGCCAATATGCATTAGAAATGCAATTGTACTATACTTAGATGTGGTTCAACCGCAGTTATAACACGGGCCATTAAGAAGCATTAAAAAAAAAAAAAAAAAAGGAAAAAAAAGGAAAGAAATAAGCAGGTTAAAAGGGAACATGTTCTGTTGCTCAGCTAAAAGACTTAGCCATAATTAGAAAATAAAATTGCTAAAAACTGGACGAAACAGATAAAATATTGATATCCAGGAGCACAAGAGCGCGCCATGCAGAAACATGTTTACCTACAATTTTCCAGGGTTTGTGTCAGGTTTGTAAGGCTTTCAGTGTGCCTGGGAAGCCAGGTGTTCAGTGCAGCGAGCTGGGGAGCCGGCAGGCTGCGGGGTGCTCTCGGGACACCGACACCACTGGAACTGGGAAAGCAACCTCCGCTCTACCGCATCCTCCCAAAGTTGGCTGCAGTCCTTCTGAAAAGTGATCCCCAGCCAGCTACGCATCTTCTGCACTCACGGGTAAGGTGAGCAGCGTCAAAGTTAACTCTGAGCTGAAGGACTTGTCCATCACAGCATGTGACTGCCTGCCTTGCTGGGGCCGGGAGCAGTGGGAAATGCCCAGCTGCCTCACTTGGACACGGCTCAAAACTTCATCCGCTTTGGTTCAGTTCTCAAAATAGGGCACATGACCTCTAAGCAAGGCAGTACAGTAGGCTGCTTTCACAGTGCAAAGTCGCTGGCTTTGCGAGCAGGGGAGGAGGTAATGCTTGGCGCTCGCCGAGTTATCTTGTTCAGCATCACATTATCCAGGGCAAATTTGCCACTATCTTTGGAGCAGGGATGACATCTGCCACAGTGTGGCTTACCCCATTGTGCCCGCTGCTCCATGCTATGTGTCTGACATAGGCTGACCTCCATCCAGAGCCAGGGTAGGGAGCTCTCCTGCAAGAGTTCGCTGCCCCCCGGACCACCAGGAGAACAGTGCCCCTCCCCAAGCTGTGACACAACAGCAGGAGCGGCCACAGGGCCACTCCAAGTAGAAATTGCAAGCTCTGTTTATACGTTTGTATGTGTATCTACAGAACAGCAGTATTTCCCAGTCTGGTAGACCCTAGTCATTATTTTATCAAGCCCACCGTAGGAACTTTTTTTATGGGATTGGCATAATGGGAACAGATAGCCTTTTCTCTTTACAGATGAAGATCTAAATTTCATTTTATAATCTGGCAATTATGTCGTTTGATTTTTATTTTTTATTTTTTTTTTAAATAAAACAGATAATCTCCCTTCCCCGCTCAAGATGAGATCTTGGTTGTTAGTGACAGCTGTTAAAATGCCGCTAAAAATAGCTGCCGTGTCAACCACTAAAAAGCGGAGTGCTCCTGCGAACTGCGGGCAGAAAACAAAAGAGGTTTGCACTGAATCTGCACGAAGTCTGCAAGCATCCTGCGCGCGCCAGGCAGGCACTCTGCCCCTCCAGCTGCCATCTCTCTGCTGGGATGAGGAAAAAAGGGGAAAAAAAAAAAAAACAACCAACAACCATTTGGTACCAAGGCATTAGGAACGTTACCTCAACTCTATTTGCTCAACAGTAATAATCATAGTTATACACCACGAAGGTTGAGACTACCTCCAAGCATTCCAGCTGCTGTTTGTATTTACACCTTTGCCCTGAATAATAAAAATAAACCCCACAAGAATGGCAGGAAGAGTGAGACAAAGCAGCGCGACCCTCGGCCCAGCACTACGCTGCTGTGCGCGGCACGAAGCGGGCCGGCTCTGCCGGGGGTCCCTGCGGGCAGGCGCTGCCCTCTGTCCCGGAGAGCACCGGCGACAGGTTGGGATCGACCCGAGCTCCCTAGCAGCTGCGTGGCACGGAGCGAGGTAAGGGAGAGGGAATTGTTCGCGTTCTGCGCGATAATACATCTCGCTAGGTTCCTCCTTTTTAGCGACATTCTGGCTAAAAATAGCACGCTGGTGTAGGCACAGTGAAATATGATTTGCTTCCCATAATACGGCAAACTAATTGTGAAATTAAGCTCCCGAGCGCGCTGATATCTTGCAGCCCAGCTCCGGCAGCACCGCGTGCCGCCCCGTTCCGCATCGATCAAGTTCCCGCAAAGTTTGACGGCTGCGGACGGCAGCGGATGGAGCGCCGCCGGCCCAGGCCCTGTGCCGCAGGTAGGGGCGAGCAGCCCTCCGCCCGGGAGCACAGCGCGGCCGCCTCCCTCCCTCCCTCCGCCGCTTCCTTTTATTTTTTTAGGATGTTTAAAGGAAGAAACGTGCAAC